AACTTCTATTTTTCCTTCTCCCTCCATTGTGTGTTAGTATCCACAAATTATATAGAACATTTGGCCTTTTTTTTGGGGGGGGGGGTTGGCTTATTTCAGTTAGCATGATAGTCTCCATTTCCATCCCGATAAATGACTCTTAAAGAGAAACCAAAGGAGGCAAGAGAGTAAGGCAGGTTGAGGTTGTAGGAGGAGAGTTCTTCTAGGCAGATGGAATTGCAAGTGCACCAGCCTTGTGTGCGAGAACAACTGCAAGAAAGTCAGTATGAACAGGGTAGGGTGAACTAGGGAGACGGTGGAAGAGAACAGATTTAGCAAGATGGCAGGGGCTAGATGATGCAGGACCTATTGACCACTGCAAGAGTGATTTTTTTTCTAAGAGTGAGAAAGAGAGACAATCTTCTTGAACAGATGAATGACATATTTGAAATTACACTTTTAAAGGATCACTCCAGCAATTACTGAAGAACAGATGATATGGGATAAAGGGCAGGAGCAAGGAGACCAGTTGGACTATTTGTTATAATACAGAAATGATTGGTGGCTGGACCAGGGTGACAAGTGTCACAGTGGCTGGATCATTGTGACAAGTGGTCAGGTTCTAGATGTGTTCTGAAGGTACAATGGACAGGACTTGCTAATTGATTTATTGTGGACTGTGATAGAACTAAAAAATGACTTAAGTATTTTTTTTTCTTTTAAGCTTAAGTTTCAATGCGGATGTAGTTGCCATTAAACAAGATGGGGACCACCTCTAAAGGTGCAAATCTGGGGGGGATATCAAAAGTTGGGTTTTGTAGAAGGTAAATTTGAGATTTCTATAACTTATCCAGGTGAGGACATTGAGCAGGTTGCTGGAGTTCAGGGGAACTATACAGACCAGAGAGATGAATTTGGAAATCATTAGCAAATTATTAGAATTTTTTTTTTGGTACCAGAGATTGAACTCAGGGGCACTTGACCACTGAGTCACATCCCCAGCCCTATTTTGAATTTTATTTAGAGACAGGGTCTCACTGAGTTGCTTAGCACCTTGCTTTTGCTGAGGCTGGCTTTGAATTTGTGGTCCTCGTGCTTCAGCCTCCCAAGCCACTAGGTGTGCGCCACCACGCCCAGCTAAATCATTGAGATCTTAAAGCATGAGTCAGGATTAGATCATGAATTATTGGAAATATGTAATGAATAGATAGACCCAATTTCTTTTGCTATGACAAATAGTTTATATGCAGTTGCATGTAGGCGAACAATGTCAAAACAATGCAGCTGTGTCAGAGGAAGGAAAAAGCCTTCAACTTGGTTGCTGCAGTTAGGGGCCCCTTTAGCTTTATTTTAAGAAAATGCAAAGTGAAGTTCTGCACTCAGGGCTTCATCTCAAAGAGGTAACCCTCAGCTTTGCATAGTTCTTGCCTCAGGCAGATTGCCCTTGTTTCTGGGCCCACTTTAATGGCAACTGCACTGTTTTAGAGTTCCACTTCCATCTGCATTGTCTCAGCTCTCTCAAGCCACAATTTCCTCTCTGTTACTTTCTTGCATTTTTAATATCCCTTGAGGCATTCTCTAGACATACCAAGCAGCGTGTCTGAGCTGTTCAAGTCATCACCTGCTAAATTAATTTTTTAATTTTGTTAATGCTCTGCTTATAAAGTTGCATAAATTTTGAGTGTTCTGTCCCGACTCTGTTATTTTTCTATAAGCCTTAGTTTTAGTGTGTGATTTTGCAAAATGAGAGATTTTCCAGGGTTGGGTATATTATTTTATATCAGAATGCTTGTATACATGGAGTTAGCATGCTACTTCTGGCCACATCTTTCCTGGCATTTTCACGTTTAGGAACTATACCTTTTCTATCAGGTACACATGCCCTTCCCTCCTCCCTCAAAAGAAAAAAAAAAAAAGAAGAAAAAGAAAAACCCAGAGGTGTGCACATGACCCAAGCTAGCCAGTCAGAATACACTACTTGCCTGCCATGCTAATTCTTTCACGGATGGACCCATGATCCAATGATCCAGCAGAGCCAATCAAATTATTCCTAGAGCAATCAGGAGGGAGAACTCTGATTCCGGAGTTTTTCTAGACACTATTTTCCTTTAAAATGATGCCATTACAGAATATTACTCAGCCTTAAAAGAGAATAAAATTATGGCATTTGCAGGTAAATGGATGGAGTTGGAGAACATCATGCTAAGCAAAATAAGCCAATCCCAAAAAAACAAAGGCCAAATGTTTTCTCTGAAATGTGTATGCTGATCCATAATGGTGGGGGTGAGGGCAGGAAGGGTGCAAGGGAAGAATGGAGAAACTTTGGATTGAGCAGAGGGGAATATGATGAGGGAAGGGGACACGGGGTGGGGGGAGATGGTAGAATGAGATGGACATCATTATCCTAGTTACATGTATATTTGCACGAGTGGTGTGACTCTAATCATGTACAACCAGAGAAACTGATTGTGCTCCATTTCTGTACAATGAATTGAAATGCATTCTGCTGTCATGTATAATTAGAACATATTTTTAAAATCTTGCCATTACAAAAGAGGCACAAATTAACAATTCAGTAAATTATTCATCTTTCATGCATTTCTTCCATTCTTATTTTCCTGGAAGATTCCCAGTGATTTTTTCCAAGACTTAGTTCAGTTATCATCTTCTGGTGAAATGTGTCATGACCTATCCCTTCAAACACACCTACCACACAAAGAGATGTGAGCTTCTTACTCATTCCCAAAGCACATCTCTTTTATAGCATTTTACACATCTCTTTTATAGCATTCTTGTGTAACTCTGGTTTTTGGCATTCTTGAAAACAGAATTGCCTTATTCATGTCTATAAACCCAGTACATAGTAGATACATAGTAAATGTGAGTTGAATGAATAAAGATATGATTTTGATAGAATATCTGGCTGATTGCCTTGTGGACACATTGTGTCACACACACACACACACACACACACACATACACAAATTCTGAAGGAATATAGGATTTTCAATAGGTAAGAATTTTGATCCAAGCTTAAAACAAACAAACAAAAAGGCACTTTGTGTTAGCTTTCTGTTACTATAACAAATACCTGAGATAAATCAGCTTAAAAAAAGGAAAAAAAGGCTTATTTTGACTCATGGTTTTAGAGGTTTCAGTCCAAAATTGATTGGCCCTATTTCTGCGGGCCTGTGGTGAGGCAGGCACATCATGGCAGAAACACGTGGCAGAGCACAATGCTTAGTTCACGGCCAAGAACTGCAGGAGAAGAAAGAAGAGGCCATGGTTTCACTATCCTATTTGAGATCATGTCCCCAAAGACCTGAAGACCTCCCACTAGCCCCACCTTAAACACTCCATCACCTCCCAATAGTGCCACAGGCTGGGGACTAAGCCTTTGAGACATGGGCCTCTGGCAGACACCCAAGATCCAAGCCAGAGCACATTTCATTGAGATTAAACTTGAAACTAGGGCAGCAAGAGTGAATGCAGAGTAGGGAAGACTTTGGAAAAAGTGAACAAACTAAATTGGAAAAGTAACGCCACCTTATAGAATTATAGAGGTACAGAAACCAAAGAGTGGTATTATTCAGTAACAGGTATAGATAAGGAAGAAAAATAAAGGAAAAGAGAAGGGAAAAGATGGAAAGTATAGAGGTGGAAAGGGGAGGCGGAAGTATGGATAGTAGACCTTTCAGTTTTGAATAAAACTTAATTTTCCACCATGTCAGTCCATATGCTGGGCTATTGGGAAGTGGAAATGAAAAACTCACAGTCCCTATGAGTCTCATTCTGGGGGAGATCTAGGTTTATAATGGTGGTGAGAAAGCAAATGGGATGCCGAGAAGGGGGTGCATGTTGCCAGGGGATAGATTAATTTTCTGAACAGACAAAACCTTCCCATCTTTTTCCCAGAGTTACAGGAAGTATGGCAGCTGAAATGTTGTTCCTAAGTGGACAAAATGCTTCATCTTTTCCCCCATTCTTGTTTCTTTCTCTCCAAACTATAATCTCTCACCCTATCAAAGGGAAAGGAACATGCTTTTGGTTCCAGTTTTGATATGATGCAGGCAGGGCTGCAGAACAAAATGACCTCTGCCAGAAAATGCCAGGTCCCAAGGCAGAATTGCCCAGCCTTGATTGCTACAGGTATTACATCTTCTATAACCCTGACACCATAGGGCCCCTTGGCTGTCTCCATGAAGCATCACCACCCAATCCAGCTTGGGTAGAGCTTTGGCTGTTCTTTCCACTTCAATCAGATTAGAGGGATTCCCTTGGTGCCAAGCTCCCATTATTTGCCCATAGCACTTTTCCAGGACCCAGGGATATCCCAGGTCTCCTTGCCACAAGAAAGAGGATCCTAGGAGGTGCAAGTCGCTTGTGTTTTGGCTCTGGCGGGTAATATGGGTATTCTGGGTGTAGACACCAACCATGGAAAGGTCTGGACATCACCATATCCAGCTGGCAGGTGGAAAGCATGTCAGATAACCAAAGGGACATGAAGGGGAGCAGGTCCCTACAAGGTAGGGCCCTGGAAGAGGGACGATCTGGGGAGAGGAAACATCTACAGAAGAAGATACACCTGGGATCTTGAGGAGCTGGCTGCCCCTGTCTCTGGGCTGGGTGGGTTCCGACACAACCACCAGGGGGACACCGAGGATGGGGTAGGGGGCGAGTGGAAGGTTGTACGGGGCTAGTGGGGCATCCTGGAGCCAGCTTGGCACGACCCAAGGGAGGGGCTTGGCAATGTCGTGTGTAGATGGCATGTGGAAGGTGTGTTGCTTTCAGATGAAGAGCCTGAGGATGGAGGGACCTGGGGTGGCTGGGAGCTGGAGAGACCCAGGACGGAGGCTCTGGTCCTGTGGAAGCGGGAGGTTGTCTTGGAGGGGCTGGCTGTGCCTGGCTCGGCTCTGGCGCCGCCGCCTGGGGGCGTCGGGCAGTGAGCCCTGTGGATCGGGGCGACGGGAGACCGCCTCCCTGCGCTCGTCCCGGTACCTGCTGGGGGCGGGAAGGAGAGGGGCACAGGGCGCCGAGAGGCGGGCGCCGAGCGTGTGAGTCACTTCGCTCTCCTGGGTTAGGAGCGGGACTTCGCCTTCCTCCCGGGGTCTGCATTTCTGCTCCAGCTTTCGCGGCTCCCCGCTGCACCCCGATTCCCCTCCTGAGGCCGGACCAGCCGCCTTTCGGTCTAGGTGAGGGCCAGGTAAGTTTCTCCTCTTTTGATGCCTCCTGTTTGGGTGACTCCGAGGAGGGGGACAGCGCGGAGGAGGGTCTTCCAGCCTGTGTTCTGTGCCTTTGCTTCCTCGGTCTGATTCTCTCCATCGGAGACAGAAAGTTAGATTTTAAAAACGCAACAGAGAATATCAAATTCATGCTCAGACCCCAGACAAACCAAACTCCGGAGCCATATTCTTAATTTCCCGGGTACCTTCAAATGTTCAGATGTGACGTTTATGGGGCTAGGAATGTTTGATTTGTTTTGTGTTTCCCTCCTCCCCCACTTTCTTGATGGGTGATTCTTAAAGGTGGGGACCGGAGAGCTCCAGGGCTGAGCTGGGATCCTTTGCCAGGGCGGTTTCTTCATTCTCGGCGAGGAGGCAGATGTTTTACTGTGGCCCGAGTTGGGATCTTGGAAGAGCCCTCTCCAGCTCAGCACATGCCAGGGCTGGAAGGTAACTGCAGTTGTTGCATACCTATCTCGTCACCATTGATAGAATCTAAATGTTATCAGGGACACTATCCACGTGAATGCCAGGATAATGTTGAAACAATTCATTCAAGGACTCGATTGTATATTTTATTTGTAACATATTACATTTCAGGAAAATGTTAGGAGACTACTGCTGGTCTTATTTATTTATTTTTCTATTTCAGAAATGCTTCAAAACCTATTATTTCCCTTACAAGAAATATCAATGATAACCTATTCTGTGTCTTCTAAGGACTAAACAATGCAAAGCTACATGTTAGTTTTTCCTCTACCAGTATATGTGTGTGTGTGTGTGTGTGTGTGTGTGTGTGTTGCTAACACTAACTGATTTGAGGAAAATCAATGTGGGGAGGAGGTATTTTCTCCTATCCCTGTCCTTAAACAGTAGTGTTTCTTTGACCATTAAATAGTCATTAATTGTTGTGTGTGTGTGTGTGTGTGTGTGTGTGTTGCTTAAAAGTAACAGCAGAGAGAACCTCCTAGAATATGTGAATTTTGGGCTCATGTTGACAACTGATTGCTTTATAATCAATATTGTTTGGTCTGCTGCAATGTTAACAGGTGGTTTTAATTCACAACACAGAATTATTCTGTTCTAGAAAATATCCCTGCTGATATGAGAGGGAAATAGCCCGCCCCCCCCCCTGCTCCACTACCACCAAATAAAACATGTCTTTATCCTGCTTTGTGGGAGAAAGATGGGCAAGGGAATCTTTTCTGGCAGTTGATTAGTCCCTGATCATAAATTGCTCTTTCTGAACTGTCATCTGGTCTGTGATCATAGAAAATACCCTTCCCCGTCCTGGGAAGAAAATTAATGAAACTTTAGACTTTTAGTCAGGTCACAGGGAGAGTTCTTTAGAGTTAACTGGAATCTTTGCTTATCCTCTTGCAATGCCTTCCCCAGGAGACTCTCCTAAATGAGTTACATTTCCCACTTCACTAATGTCACAGCTTCTCTTCTCTGCATACCTATGTCATAGCTCTTACCATCTTGCTTCTCTTTGTTTACACATTAATTTTGCTCAGAATAGCAAAATTTCTTTGGGGGGGGTTAGGTCTTATTCATATTTATATTATTGGAACCTAATGAAGTAGGAGGTCTGTTGAAAAATGAATGAATGAATAAATAAATTTGGCAGTCCAGACCAGGTTTACTATTCCTTGAATACCATCTGGGCAAGATTTCTTTTTCACTTCTAAAAGATAATCCTTTTAATTCAATGGTACTCAAAGTGTGGATCCTCAGACTACAGTGTTCTAAATAAATGAGAGTTTTCCAACATCTGTATATTAATTGTGAAAGTATTGTGACTTTGCTGAAAGTAATAAAACATGAACCAAAAGGGTTTTTAGTAAACAGAGAAGTTGGACAGCAGGTGATCATTATGGTCCCATAGTGTTAGGGTTCTGGGTCAGTGCCTTATCCTCATGGTTTCAAAATGGCTCCAACAGCTCCAGACATTATGTCTTCACCCACATCAAAGACAGGAAACATAAGTAAAAAAACAAAAACAAAAACAAACAAAATCTATTATTAAGTTAAAAAGAAAAAGATAAGAAAGAGAGCGTAGAAAAGCCAGAGTATTTCCCCTCATGCAACTTTTATCAGAGAAGAAATGTTTCCCCAAAGTTCCTTAACAGAGTTTCCCTTTTATCTTATTGACCAGATCTGGGTCACATAGCTGCTCTTAGTGGCAAGGGAGGCTGGGAAAGTAGCAGGCTTTTCAACTTCTACAGTGGAAAAGGTGGTCAGAGAGAGGGAAGTTGGAGATGGCTAGAAAGCTAACCAAAAAGACTGTCTTGAAAATAGGTTCTATTTGAATCTGTGATTGTATCAATGATTAGACCACAAAAAAATATTGAATATTAATCAAGGTAGCAAAAGCACATCCAGATTTTCCACTAAAGTGTATAGTATTTTAAGGTCAGATCATCACTTTTGTGGAGTGTGTGCTATGGTTTGGACAGAGTTTAAATATGTCCCCTAAGGCTTCATGTGTTGAAATTTAATTATCACTGTGTGATGTTAAGAGGGTAAAAACTTAATCTGACTATGGTGTTTAGGGGTGGGCCCTTTGGAAAGTGGTTAGGATTAGATAGTCATTGGGATAGAGCCCCCATGATTAACTCCAGGTGGCTTTATAAGATGACAGATACCACAGCACACATATGTGCGTGCACTCCTTGCCTGTCTCTTGCCACCTTAGGATGCTGCCAATAAAAAGGTCATTACCAAATGCTTGCCCTTAAACCTCCAGAACTGTAAGTTAAATTTCCTTATAAGATTACAAATTTCCTTATAAAATTATTTTCCTTGTAAAATTACCCAGCCTCAGGTATTTCATTATGGTAATGCAAAACAAATTAATATTGTGTGTTAACTTTTAGAAACTACACACACACATACACACACACACACACATTCTCATACAGTTTCCATTTTGTTAAGTATTAGTCAGAACTTGGAACAGATTAAGCATTTAGTAAATTGTTGTTTTGTGAGTGGACTATTGAGTTTGGGAGCTCAAAACTTCACAGGGGCATGGAAAAGGTGGCAAGGGATTAACAATAAATAAATGGTTCAGCACCTATGTCCTGGCATGCTGGTTTATAGAATTTAAGAGTCATTAATTTGGATCCTAAGAACCTTGAGAGCAACTTAATGGGTGTGTGTGTGGGGGGGGGGGTGGCAAGAAGAACCTAAAGGGAAATAATGGGTACTGACAATGTAGGTCAATAGATTTTCTTTGGGGGCATTCTCTATACCTGTACTATGGAAGATGTATCACCAAAAAAATAAAGGTTCAAGGTGATCCCTAGCACAACACAACAAAACAAAAACCCCAAACAAATGAGAAAGTTGATATATGAAAAAAGTATATGTAATTGCCAGCTTTGATTCTTAACTTTCTCTTTGCAAGTAGAAGTCCTCAAATATTTATAGGAAGAGCCAGGTTTGGGAACATAATGGTGGGAGATCAGATAAGCAAATGTCAAGAGATTGAAATTTAACAGTTGCAGGGTCCTATGTCTTAGATTTCTTACCAGTCAAGAGATTGGTAGAGATTATCAGTGGTTTTCAAACTTTGTTACACATTAAAGATCACTTGGAAGGCTTTTAAAAATCCAGATTTATGGGTCGATTCTCATACCACTTAAATTGGAACCTCTGGGAATAAGACTCAGGTATCAATATTTTAAAAACCCCCTAGATGATTCCAGTATGCCCTTGAGTTTGGAAACTATTAATTGGCCAAGATTGCCATACAAAGTGCCATAGATTAGATGACTTAAAGAACAGAAATTTATTTCCTTAGAGTTGAGAAGATTGGAAGCCCATGGTCAAGGTGTCATCAGGGTTGGTTTCTTCTGAGGTCCTTCTCCTTGGCTTGTATGTGGCCACGTTCTGTTTGTGTCCTCACAAGATCCTTCCTCTGTACATGTCTGTGTTCTGACCTCCTTTTCTTATAATGACACTTGTTATATTGGATTAGGGCCCACCCTAATGATTTTATTTTCACTTAGTCACCTCTTTAAATGTCCTGTCTTCAAATACAGTCACATTCTGGGGTCCTGGGGGTTTGGGATTCAACATATAAATCCGGGGGACACAATTCAGCACATAACAGGAACTATTGGTTAAGTATGGCACTCCTCTATCTTTATTGTGCATACAGGTCACCTGGAATTCTTGTTCAAATTCAGATTCTTATTTAGTAATTCAAGGTGAGAATCTGCAGTTTTAACAAGTTTCCAGTGCTGCTAATGCATTCACAGATTGCACTTTAGGTAACCTAGTCTAGTGGTTCTCAAACTTTGACAGGCATTGAAATCACCATGGAGAAATTGCTAGAAGCAGTTTGCTGGCGTCTGGTCTCAGAATTTCTGATCCTATAGGTTTGGGGTAGAGTCCAAGAATTTCTTTCTTCCTTCCTTCCCCCTTTTTTTTTTTTGGTGTGTGTGTGTGTGTGTGTGTACCGCAGACTGAACTCAGGCACTTGACCCCTAAGCCATATCCCCAGCCCTATTTTGTATTTTATCTACAGAGTCTCACTGAGTTGCTTTTGCTGAGGCTGGCTTTGAACTCGCAATCTTCCTGCCTCAGCCTCCGGAGCCACTGGGATTATAAGCATGCATCCTGGTGCCCGGCAAGAATTTGCATTTCTAACAAGTTTCCAGGTGATATTGTTGTTGATAGAGTAGGGATGACAGTTTGCAAGTCACATATCTCTGACATTTTGACACTTTGTGGTATTGGACAAGTCAAGGTCATTACACATATCATTGTATGTTTGCTATCCTAATTGCTGATGGTATCACATTTTTCTTTTGCCAAGCTCAATTACTTTTTCTGCCCATAGGACAGAGGATGAGGAAATGGGAGAAAAATGCAGTATTGGGATTTCTTTTAATCTCTTACACAAATATAGATGGATGAATACAGAGGCTACATACCACCCCATTTGTCTCTATTCATGTTTATTCTTCAA